ATATATATATATATATATATATATATATATATATATATATATATATATATGAGTATATATATATGTATATATATGAGTAAATATATGAGTATATATATATGTATATATATGAGTATACATATATATATATATATATATATATATATATATATATATATATATATATATATATATATATATATATATATATATATATACATATATCTATATATATATATACATATACATATATATATATATATATATATATATATATATATATATATATATATATATATATATATATATATATATATATATATATATATATATATATATGTTAAAAACTATTCACAGTCTATTAAACATAATTCATTGGTACAATAATAAAAAATGTTGACAAGACTGTTTCAATGAAAAATACCTAATGTCATCTATATCCTCATACTTACAACACATCACAGTATGAAAAACACTGAAAGTCATATCAAATCTAAATACTAATGAAGTCTAAAGAAAACAGTGTTCAACTTACACCTCCACTCTTGGGCAAGAAAACAACCCTAATGAAGGGAATATCTCTGACAAGTTCATTATACAGTCTCTCCTGGTCAAGGACAATGATCACATCGACCTCAAAGGCCTGTGCAACATGTGTCAGACTCTTGTATCCTTCATTTTTAATCCAACCACATGTGTTGATAACCACCCCTGAGGCAGCAACTGCAAGGGAAAAAAACAAAAAATAACTGGTCAAAATTTGCAAGGGAAATAAAACTAAGCATGTCAAATAAAATGCACAGAAAGAAAAGAACAGAAAAAAAGTTAACACCCAGTAGAGAATATCCCCACTCACCTTTTCTATTGCCAACCATCTTATCTTGAATGGTGGCAGCCATGCGTGAGACAAGGATGTTGTACAGAGTCATGTTGGATGCAGGACTCAGGTGGCCAAAGTTATACACAAGAGGAGCCTCCTGAGAAAAGCCTTCCCCAACATCAGCAGCTCTCTCAACAAGCAGTGCACCTTGAAAATAGACCAACAGTTATGACACTTCTCATAACTGAAAATGAACTTACAATATCTCACAATATATCTTATTACATATGTACAGGGACCCTAATTACTTATATGTAACATATAATGATAATGATCAGTAAGATATACCTATAGTTCCTGGAATTGCAATGGATCCTTGTCCAATATCCAAATCTACAAAGATGGGACGACGTCCCATCCGCACAGCATAATTGAGGAGAATTCTGCACAGAGTTGACTTTCCTACATCTCCTGGACCAACAACCATGGTTACTGGTCCTCTGGTATCCTCTCCTCGGCTAAGACCTTCATCTGCATGCCTGCGCAACCGCTCCAAGCATGCATGTGTATTAAGGTACATAACCTAATGAGAAGCAAATGAGATTATTAGTTTATTTCTCTTAGATATGCCAACAAAATTAAGTACTCAAAAATTTCCACCATGTATGTGATTTTGCTATTATGGTAAGTAATTAACAGTAATTAAGGAAAAAATAAACAAATGTTGAACATTCAGTAAATCAATTTCTTACCATTGGGGTTTCCTTTGCCACATATGTTCCCTCTGTTGGGCCAGACAGCTTGAGGACACAGCCATGCCAGGTGAACACTGCTACCTTTGCTCCAGGGAAGAAGGTGTACGGCTTATCTGGTGCTAGTTCTGTGCCAAACACTTCAGCTTTGCCATTTACTAACTGTCCAGGATATAAATAGATTTAAATTTATGTCTTCACTGAAGAAGATTATGTGTAACATGTTAAAATTTCACATTACATAAGTATAAATGTATATTCCTACAATTGTAAATATATGAAAATGTATATACCTATAAATATATGCAAATGTACTACATAAGAGAGGAATTCTAAAGAGTAGGATAGTGTTTGTCACAATGTTGCAAATCAACCTTTCCTTAGATTTTTTTTGAAGTAAAGCTGCAAGAATATGAGTAAAATCAGTTGATGAACAGGGCAAGTTAATTCATCTAAAAAGTTAAAAGAGAACATCACAATCCAGTCTTAATTAGATATGAACAAAACAATTCTAAGCACTGCAAGAACTCTCAAGTATTATAAGTATTATATATTATATATTATATATTATATAAAAAATGTAGAAAAAGAAGACTAAAATTGTAATTGTTATAGCTATTACATCATTCATATATCAAAATAATCAATAAAATAATAAAAATAAGAAACAGTGGTAATAAGTCTGCTATATTTGTGGTTAAATACTACCAAAATGAAAAGAACAAAAATAATGAAATAAAAGTGACAATAAGTACAACAACAGTAACTGTCCTGCTATGTTCAGACTTACTGTGAGATCAACTGTATCCTGCTTGCCCTCCACCTCAAACCTGAGTTCGCTGTCTGGGTCCAAGCGGAACTCCTTTTCAGACATTTTGTGTCAACTGTATACCTGTTGTAAGAGTTAAAAGTCAATGAAACTTAATTCCTTAATCCTGCTGATGCAGCTAAAATGAAAAAGAAGTTAATATCATCAGCTGTAAAAGGTTTTTCTTACATATCAAAAATATCTGAGGGCTTATAAATTGGAGGCCATAAGATATAGATTTAACGCTATCTTCAAATTTAGTTTGGCAAAGACCTGTTATGATGAAAGTCAATCTAATAACATAATCAGTCTTCTACCAAAATTTAATCATTTCATGGATTAAGTAAAATTAGAATTTCTGAGACATGTTTTTACATATTTATGCATACATATTGCTGAAGTAACTGTTTAACATTTTACTAGAAAATCAATCTTAAATTTTAAATTATAGAAACATAATATACATTTGTTCAATCTTGCAGTCGATATACCTAAACACTTACATTCCTGCATAACACACCTTATAAACATCCTTGAAAATATTCTAATAAAGAACAAAGCCATGATCTAACTTGGCAGACTACAGCTCATGGAGATTTGTTAGTGTTTGCCAACCTACAAAAGGCTAAAGATTGGGTAATTGTTGACAATGTGCCACTCTTTGAATGCCGCAACAGGTATTTCGCATACACTTACCAAGCGCTATTTGGAAACTGCTGCAGGCATTTTCAAAATATTTACCAATTTCATTTGAAACCATTGCTAGCATTTTCGAAATGTTCTTCTTTCTTCTTTTATAGGTTGTCTATATCCCCTGGAACCTTTTCATGATTCTTCTTTCTTCTTCTATCTATAATTTTTGTTCTTTGTAGGAATATTTTAGCATGTCTTAGTATGTAGGACTTCTGATCATCAGGCAGATCTCCTATAATCAGTAGTATTACATTTGGATTAATCATCTTTATTTTCTTTGTTTTGTTTTTCTCGGTTTTAATTAGATCTTAGGCAATGGAGGAACAGGTGTTCCTCCGTTTCTTCTTGATTTTTGCACCATCTGCAAAAAGGGGCAGTTTCAATTTCTTTATTCTGTGTAGATGGTGTTCTAGTCTTGTGTGTTTGTTTTTAGTCTTGTGATGCATGTGTCTAATTTTCTATTTTTTTATCTTGTCTATGGCTGAGGGCTGGTGTTTTGTAAATAGTAATTCTTTATCTTTAGGGCATTATTCAAATATTCTTCCCAATTCTTTTGGTTTTTATTCTTTATTTCTTTTATTATATTTGAAATGTCTTTGGTTATATTAAGTTTCACTTATATTGTGAGCTGTTTTTGCTGCAAGGTCTGCTATTTCATTACCTTTTATGTTTTTGTGTGCTGGTATCAACTGTATTATAGTTATTTGTTTGTTTTCTGTTAGGTTATGAATTATTGATTGTATCTCAAATATAATGTGTTTGTAGTTTTTGGGATTAGGGTTTTGTATACAGTTAACTGCTGATTTAGAATCTATGTATATCACAAAGTTTTTCATGTTGTTATTTTTAATATATTTCGGATAATAAATTTCAGATATGTATCTTTCTATTATTTGGGTTTCTTTCAGTAATTTCCAGATTGTTGTGATGTTTTTGTCTTTAATATAAATTGCTGCTTGAGGTAAAACTGCCTTCTTCTATTTAGGAGCCGTCTGTTTCGCAATGGTAATTTTTCCCGAAAAACTACGGATGATGGCCATTTCGTACGGTATTTATATTTTTCTACACGATTTCATTATGTTTGGCAAGTCTTCAATTTTTATTTCAACCTCAAGCCACCGTTTCTGATTTTTTTTTCAATACCATGATCTCAGGCCTCACGCGAGCATTTCACATTTAAGGTTTCCTCGCTTATTTCTCTTACCGGGGGGGGGGGGGGGGGATTCTCCTTCTGTAATTCATATATGCAAAATTGTCCAAACAGTAAAACCTCGACGTTAATTCAACCATGGAAGCAGTTTAGACATTAGGAATAAACTTAATATACGATTTTTCAACAGGTCCGTAGAAGATGTAACGTGAATCCTGGTTGACGAGAATAATTTCCAAGTTTCTTCGTGAATCTTTCATTTTCCTGGGATAAAAAAAACACTTAGGCTGTTCTCTGTCAATGTTTCCGTATCAATACATACCTTTTTCTTGGAATTTCAGTGATAAATCGAAGGAAAGATGGGATTTAGCTGTGACTTCCCGACATTTGTTTTGTTCTGGTACAAGTTAAGGATATGTATCTTTCGAATTTATTCTTGTATATAGGCACTGAATCTTCATATTAATAAAACAAAAAATATACGTTTAGTTACACAGAATTCTATGTACAAAAAACTATTCTATATTACCAACAAGATTCATTCAGAATATATTTCAGCGAGACACGTAAACCCCGTAATTAGCTTATATATGAGGAAAAAAAATCATACACCTCCCTTTATAAAACTACAAACGTCAACAAAGAATAAACTAACAAAGACGAAGTACATAAGCTCCATGGGCACAAAAAAGAAAGTTTGATTGCAGAAATGAAAAGAAATGGAAGTAAAATGAAGAAAAGGCCTTGAGAGAAAGGAGCGGAGCGCGATTGCAAAGGCGGACTCCCCGACCCAGTCCT